AGTGAAATACATGGGATATAACCTTCATGGGCAGGCCAGCAGGCCTGCCATGCTACCAATGATGAAACGTGGAAATGAGGCCATTGGGTCAAAAGTAAACTTCCCTTTAGAGAATTGTTTAGAAATACAAATTAACTTTTGCACTCAGTTCATGTGGCAAAACGGCAGCACTTTCCTTCCGATAGTAACTCCTAGTTAAAGATTTGCACCATAGTCTCCCGAAAAGGTCTTTTATTTTTCAAAAAATCCATACAATTTGCTTACTTGTATATATTCTTGTCTACTCAGCACGTATGTCGTCATTTTCAGGTCAGTGTGAACGCCTGAGCAGGCGTCTTGTTATTTATTTTGTGCTGTGGCTGTATTTTGATTGCGCAAGAAATTAAATAATCGTGACCGCTCGGAAACTTCGTCTCATATTGCTAATAGCCGCATTTCATCTAACGTAACTGAGTGAGTTAGTGATGGCCTTACATAATTTCAGAAGACGTCCTTGAAATAACACTTTATAAATAGTGTATTGGATGCCAATTACAACAAGACTATTACGAAAAGGATATGTCCGAAGGGGCCGAAGTTATGTTCGGCGAAAGGTATGGCTTGTTTACATTGTTCGAGAAAATTGAGTAATATAGTGAAATATATGATATTGCTTGACCTCTCAAAGTTCATAAATCGCTATATTGACTAAAACTATCGTTAGGAATTAGGAGCTATTCTTTCAATGAACCGAACGGTAGTATTTTTGTTTTCATAGCATTCGCCTAACCGAAGATATTAATCTGTAAATTCATATTGCGGCATTGCGCGTGCAATATGTTATTAATTTAAATAGGGACCGGCCGAGAATATTAATATACTCAGTCGCGAAAGCCGACTTTTCTATGTCAAAACGCCCCCGGCCACGTTTCATGAAACGTTTCATGAAACAGAAACTTGAACACTGATACCAAGAAGAGTTATTGTGTGTTTTTTTGTTACTTTGTGTTTAAAATATGACCTTGTTAAGGCCAAATTTTAGGCCAGAATCATGGGCTCAGAACGCAGGAAATGGCATTTCTGGGGTTCAAATTTCAAAAAATTTGCGGGGGGGCATGCCCCCGGACCCTCCTAGTTATGCGAGACCTAGGAATATGATACGGTCATATCTTAAGCTAGATCCGCCTCTACTGGAAGTGAATCTGTGGACAATGACCCTTTCAGTCAATATAGTCAATAAAGGTATGCAGGTTTGAACTTGTATTTGTCTTATTACCTATTAATTTTGGCTTTAGGAATTTAAAAAAAGCACATTCTTCAGCCAAGTCACAGATTTCATTTTATGTTGACGTTAAGTGAGCATTCGAGTCAAAGCCATTCAGACGTGAACTGTACGTTGCCAGTATGTTTATTAGTATCAAATATAAGGAATAACAAAAGCGCACAAATATTCCAATTGGAGAGTGATGTATAACACTTACTGAAACTTACAAACAACGCAATATTAATAGCAAGTCCGAGCGGCGAGCACGGAAGTAGACGAAAAACAAACCGAAATGTATATGTGAAGGTTCTGACAGCAAAAACGAGAAGTTTAGTTATATCTGCTAAGCTGTGATATAAACCGTAAGATTTTGGTCCGCCGTTATTTCGTCTGACTGATTCATTTTAATTTGAGTGTTATACTGACATGTTTGTTGGTAAGTTCGGGTGGTATAAAGTGATAGAAGGCAGACTTATAGTATTTAAAGCTATTGGAAGACCACCGGAGACATCTAGCATTTTGTAATATACATATAGTATCAGAAAAAAGTAGACAATTTTGAAACGGCTGTCAATTTCACAAATCCTGAACGGATTGTCATGACATTTTTGATAAATATAGAATGTTTGGGTACTTGTAATGTAGAATAAACAAAAAATTTCGTAAAAATAAATTTTCCAGAGCAGGGGGGGTGCCTTTTTAGCAGCATTAAAATAGTTTGCGTGCGAAATTTAAAAGTTTAAAACGTATTTTTAGTTCATGGGCGAGACATTTGTGTTTTATCAATGGTCCAAATATCAGAAAATTTAATCCATTTTAAATCCTTTAAATAGCTGCTGAAACTTTCATTTTTGGGCAATGCCTGTCACGCATGATTAATTCATGCTTTACCTAATTTGCATATTGTTAATTGTAAGAAAAGTAAAATAACAATATGCAAATTAGGTACATGTATGAATTAATTAAGCATGCGTAATAGGCATTGCTGTCAAAAATGAAAGTTTCGCAAAGCTATTTAAAGGACTTTAAAGTCATTCACAGTTAGGCATTTAAAACCAAACTGAGCATCCTGTAAGGCTGTAAATATTGGGATATAACAAATTTCAGATCCTGGTGTTACTATCCCCTGCCCCTAGCCTCCCCCTCCCTCCCAAAGTTTCGGGGGAAATGTACACGAACACTTTCTCGGGGTGAGGAATTTTGTTGAGCATCTATTGTTGAGCTTGTGGTCCTGTGAGGGTAGGGTGAGGAATTAGGGAGTATAAATGTTAACATGTGGGGGAGGGAGCTTGGTTACCTTAGATATCCAACTTACTAACATACCACATCCGTTCCCACCTCCCTCCCTCCACTACAATACGTGTTCCTTAATATATTCAGGATACATTCGACCTATACACCAACATGTAGATCAAGTGCTACTTTCTGAGATCCAGTATTCCAAGCAGTTTTTGCTTTAGACTCACTTCAGAGCTTGACAACTGTAGGATCAGAGGGTCTATAGTTGTATTTTTTACAGCTGCTCCTGGTTAGGTCTGAATAAATGCTCCTTATGCTTAGGTCTAAGTAACATATATTAGTTCAATCCAGTCAGATGCCCAAAAATCCTGATAGTTACCCATAAACCTTACCAAGACATCATCTTACTGTATATACATGAACTTGCGGTTAGAACTCGACAACTGGACTCTGTAGCTCTGCAGTTGGTTAGAGCGCTGCACCGGAATCGTAGGGCCTATTGAGTTCTCTGGTCTAAATTAAAGGTCCTGTCACTCTATTGCGCATGACAGAAACGTATAAGAACTAGAAGTGTATGGAAATTAAATGAAATAATTTTCACACGCACAAAAATCCTTTGAAGAGCCAGCGTATGAGTACCGTACATCTGGCGTACCTCTAGTATATAGCTAGCGTATTCAGCGTGTGCCTAGAGTATGCCAATCGTATCATAAACCATACGTCTGAATACGCACACAATTTTTAAGCATGCATGCTTAAAAAAAGTTTCTGCCTCGCCGTATTCCAGCGTATATGCCACCGTATGCAACCGTTCTTGAAACATGTGCAACCTATGCCTAACGTGCCCCTAGCGTATGTCAGCGTTTTCCAGCGTATGATTGATATTTTTCATATTTTTCAACTGCATTTAAGCAGTGCTGTAGAACTAAATTTACCAGAGGGTGGGGGGCTCTCTTGACGAGCGTGAAGCCGTGAAATCGTAAAAAAATGCGTGACGTCCTACGATGACCAGGGACCGCTGAGGCATTTTTTGAGATTTCATTCAGTCCGGGGCTCTGAGACCTCTCAGAGCCCCGGAAATGCAATAAAACCTGAGTTTCTCTTAAAAAGTTTCTAGAACGACACTTAAGCAAGCCATTATACATATAAGGATATAAGGGTAAAGTTTATTCGCTTAGTACATTTTCTTTGAATAGATTTTTTCTTCGAAATTTAATGCCTTATTTAAGCGTAATTTAAATTGCATTTTCCGTACTTATCGTCCCTACTTTTCTTAGAAATGTTTTTTTCTGGAAAGTGCGAGCCCACTGATACATAACAAGAAAATAGTAAATGGAAACAAACACCTGTCCAGAGTACTAATGAAGACTGAACTAATCTACATAATTATGTGCAATTACTATGAACTAATAGAAGTTTACAGATAGTGATTACTTCACTGACCATTTTCTTGGTATTGTGATCCAAATTTTTCACAGCGTCTTGAACATCAGCAAAATATTCTCGTTTCTTTTCCTTCATCAGTACTTTGAAAATTTCCAGTTGTGGGATAAGAAACTAAGAACGAGAGTGCCCTAAATATAGCCTGGCGAAGTCTGTCCACTTCATTAATATTCTGGACTATGCAAAGAAAAGTGAAATCTGCCGTATTAAAATCAGATGTATGAAGAATTATTGCGGGAGGGACTAAATCCCCCCTGCTCCGCGGTCCCTGATGACGTCACAGATTGACAGATGTTCGAAAATACAATACAATACAATACAACAATACAACTTTATTTCACTCTTAGATAGAAATACATAAATAATACACAATACTTAAATAATTGGTACATAGATAGAATTTATATTTTAAATAACATTTTTAGAGCTTGAAAGCTAAATGAACCGTTAGGTTTTCTAGTTAGTTTCCATTGAATTTTATTCTTATTCTTATTAGATTAATATAGATTATGTCAGACAACTGAAGAAACTATTAATTTTCCATTAGATTTTGTTAATAGAAAATATATAGAATTAAAGAATATATAATAAGTATAATTTATATCATATACATGATGAAAATTTCAATAGGTATGTTGTTTAGCCAATAAGTAGGTTTTAACTTGCTTAAAGAAGGAAAACAAAGGTAGATTTTTAGTTACATCTGGAAGATCCATCCATAAATCAATTGCTCCAAAAGAAATTGCCTGTTTACCAGTATTAGTTCGAACATATGGTTTATACATATTTAAATTAGATGAGTATCTGGTATTATAACTATGAACATCTCTTGAATATTGGAAGAAATTATCAAAAATGTGTGGCAACAAACCTTTATGCCACGCATGAATAAATTTCAAGGCATGTAGGCGATATACATTTTGAACTGTTAATATATCAAGCAAATTTAGCAATGGGGGAGCACTTGCAGTATCTTTACCATATAACTTTACAAAAAATATTAACCTGATTGCATGATTCTGTTTCACTTGTACTTTTTGTATAAGCGACGTGCAAGCGCTGCCCCATGCCAAAACCGCGTATGATATATATGGATAGATAACACTATAATAAATTTGTGATAATTGTTTGACAGAGAGATAGTGTCGCAGTTTGGATAAAATGCCAATGCCACGAGATATTCGAGAACATATATATGGTGTATGATAGCTCCAGGATATCGTGTCATCTAGCATTATACCCAAATACTTAATATGATCTTTCCGGATCAATTTTTTGTATGTTCCATCATTATTTTTAATTTGTATCGTTGTCGAAAAATCTTTTTTTCTGGCGGGCTTTATAATCATATAACTCGTTTTACTTATATTAATTGATAACTTATTAACATCGCACCATTCTTTAACCTTATCAAGTTCAGAGTTCATCAAAGCTTCAAGGGTTTTTAGGTTACTAGAGGTAGCAAAAATATTTGTATCATCGGCAAAAATTTTAAATAATAAATTATCGGAGCAATTTGGAAGATCATTTATATAAATTAAAAACAACAATGGTCCCAGTGTACTCCCTTGTGGAATCCCACAAATCATAGTCTGTCTCGTTGATTCAAAATTTCCAAGTGCTACATATTGTTTCCTATTAGAAAGATAACTTGCAAACCATTGTAGTGGAAGACCTCTTATACCGTAAGCTTCCAGTTTGTTCAATAGTATATTGTGATTCACAGTATCAAATGCTTTTGCAAAGTCTATGAAAACTCCACAAGTATACAAATTATCATCAATTGACTTCCTCAATGTTTCAGTAATTTCTGTTATACAGCGCATAAGTGCATGATTATATTGTATTAAACATTGAAACAAGATAAAGTATCGATTTATTAAGGACGCCATTTTAGTAATTTTGATTCTACTTCATGAAAAAGTAGTCAAGTTTTGTTTAATAGTGTTCTTAATAAATTCTCAATTTTCTAAAATAGAAGGGGGTTCAGCCCCCCACCCCGAGCTTGAAGAAGGGCCCCCAAGCGATCCCCCCC